TAGTTCTTAGGGTCTGTCGGGGATTTTTGGGGTTTTGGAATGAGGATTGCTGTGGCTTCTTTGAATGGGCTTGGGAAATATCCTGATGCTAGTGAGGCGTTGTAGACGTCTGTGAGTGCAAAGATTAGGGGGTCTGGAAGTTGCTTGAGGAGAGCTTGGCCAATGCCAGAGGCTCCTGGGGCTTTACGTCTGGTGTTCTTGAGCATGAGTTTAACTTCTTCAGGTAGTATTGATTCTGTGAGGTCACTTTCTAAGTCGTCTAGTGTCGTGAGGTCAATGGTAGGGTAGTGTGTGATGGCATGAGGGTTGTGTCGTATCCATGTTTCTACTCTGTTTATGTTTTGTATTGCTGTTGGTTGTGGGGGGTGGGGATTGAAGATGTCCTGCCAGTGTTGTTTGAATATGCCTATTACTTCTGAGGGATCGGTGTAGTTTTGATTGTTGTGAGTGATGTATGTAAAGGCAGAAGAGGAGGAGTTTCCTCTGATCCTCTTTATGAAGTTCCAGAATTGTTGTGGAGTTGTTTTTCTTTGTATTTCAGCTTTATGTATGAGTTTCTCCCAGTTGTTAGCATGGTCTTGGTCAAGGCTGTTGAGTATGTGGTTTTTGAGTATAGTGAGGTCTGTGTTTACTTGATTGTATCTGTGAAGGTTGTGGGTGAATCTGTTGTGATAGCAGGAGAGTAGCCTTTTTGTTCTGATCGAAGGAAAAAAGGAGTATCTAGTTTTGTGGGTTGTTTTTGGAATGGTAGCATCAGCTGCTTGTATGATGTTATTCTGGATGGTGAGGACTTGGGAATCTATGTCTGTGTGTGGTTTGTCTTGGAAGTTGTAGGGCTGTGTGCTGGCAGTTAGGTGTTGTTTGAAGGCTTCCCAGTCTGCATTTTGATAGTCATATTGTGGGGTGGCTGGGATGAGTATGGGGTTGCTGGAGAGTGTGAGTGATATGGGTATGTGATCTGAGCCAGTGAGGGGTCCGGGTGTGATGTAGTGTTGTAGGTGGGTGCCTGCTCTGTTGGTGAGGATTAGATCTGGTCTCCCAGTTCCATTGTGTGTGTAGGTTGTTTGGAAGTCAGGGCCAAGGAAGGTGAGGTGTTTGTTTTGGTGGAGTTGGTGTAGTTGTTGACCGTGCATGTTGTGTTGGCGATGGTTGAATGTTTGGTGTTTTGCATTTAGGTCTGCTAGGAGGAAGACTGGTATGTGTGTGTGGTTGAAGAGAGTGTTTAGGTCCTGGAGGGGGAGACCCAAGTTTGGACGAATGTATGTGGTACCAATGATCATCTGCCCGTGTTGAGTGTGAATGCGGACTGCTAGGAAGTGTTTGTGTTGCCAGTTGGTAGTGAGGAGGTCATGTTTATAGGTGTTCTTTATTAGAATAGCAACCCCTTCGTAAGCTTCATCAGGAGATTGGTATGTTGTGAAGCCAAAATGTCTAATTTTGTGAGAGTTCGTCACGCATGTGCTGTTTAGTAGCAGCACATCCGGTCTTTCATTCTCCACAAAGTTAGCAATTAGGTGTCTGATGTTGTAATATGCTCTAACGTTAAATTGTGTGATTTTCATATTTATTGACTTGTTGGGGGAGTGTTTGTGGCATTTGAACCGGAGGGGTTCTCCTTTGTGGATTGATTCGTTGTGTAGACAGATTTGGTAATTATAGATTTGGGTAGGAGATATGTATGGCGTCCGTTTTGCATGGTGTCTGGTATGAATTTAGGAAGTTTTGGTGTAGGGGTGAGGGAGTGGTCTGGGGAGGTGTTAGTCCTCTTGGCTGAGAAAGACACGTTTTGGGGCAAATTTTGTGGGATTTTGGGCTTTGTACCTGTGTGGTATTGGGTTAGGGGCGTGAGGTTGGCTAGCGTGTTGGGCGTGAGGTGAGTTGACGTGTTGGGCGTGTGGGCTAAGGTGAGGGAGGTTACATGTTTCTTGGTATCTGATTTCTTTTTAATTGATGGGTTGGTTTTCTTGTGTATTGGGGTTGTTCGTCTTGCATGCAGAAATTTTTTGTTTTGTTTAGGTGAGTTTGTTCTTTTCACTTGAAGAGTTGTTTTGTGTTTTGGTGAACTTGATCTTTTTGACTGAAGAGGGGTAGCTGTCATGGGGAGCATGGTCTGTGAGAAGCAGTTAGAGGCCTGGGTGTCAGGGGAGGGTGTAGATGGTTCTGTGTTTGGTGTTTGGGGGGTGATGGGGGGAGGGGGTGGTGTTGGGGGGGGTGGTGTTGGGTTTGTTGTCTGTGAGGTGGTGAGGGGTGGGGGCGAGAGTAGGGGTGGTACTGGGTTTGATGCCTGGGGGGTGATGGGGGGTGGGGAAGAGAGTAGGGGTGGTGCTGGGTTTTCTGTCTGGGAGGTGATGAGAGGTGGGGGTTGTACTGGGTTTGTTGCCTGGGGTGTGATAGAAGGTGGGGAAGAGGGTGTGGGTGGTGCTGGGTTTTTTGTCTGGGAGGTGGTGAGGGGTGAGGGTGGTACTGGGTTTGATGCCTGGAGTGTGATAAGGGGTGGGGGTGATACTGGGTTTGGTGTCTGGGGAGTAATAAGGGGTGGTGGTGGTGTAAGTGCTTGTGGGGTGATGGGGGGAGGTGTTAGGGGTTGTACTGGTTGTGACGCCAAGCTGGGAGGGATGACTATTGGAGGGAGGTTGTTTGCTAGTAGGATTTGTTGGATGTTGGAAATTGCCTTCCTCGTGTCTCCTTGTGCTGATATCTGTGCTATTATGATAGCTGCCACTATTCTCGGGGTGTCGTCTGTTGTTGGGTGAGGGGGGGGAGGGGGGGCCTGAGTATGGTGGTTTGCGAGATGGTGTCCGCTGGTGGTGTGGGTTTGGAGAGGTGGGAAACCTGGGGGGGTGGGGAGCAGGGCACCTCTACCTTGAGGGTTGATGGGTATTGTTTGAGCATTTTGGGGAAGTGTGTTGGGGCGGTGAAGCTGGTTAGTGAGGTTTTGGGGATAAAGCTGGCGTGCTGTCTGGGCATGATATTGGGGTAGTGTGTTTTGGGTCTTATTCCTCATTGCCTTGATGAGTTGCACCCTGATTTTGCAATTGTGGTGGGTGGCAGGATGGTTTTCACCACAGTTTATACAGCATCGTGTTCCTTCTGTGCAATCTTTCCAGAAATGTCCTTTGTTGGCGCATAAGGAGCAGGCTTGTTCCTTTTCCTTGCATTGCCTGGTGGTATGGTTGAATCCATAGCACCTGAAGCATTGTGTAATGGACTGGTATGTGCTCATCTTGAAGTTATAATGTGGGATGGAAATGTGGTCTGCTTTAAAGCCATGTGTGAGGAGGGATTCAGCTTCAGTGGGGGAGGAGCAACGGATTCTGAGGATCTTTGTGTTTGGTGGGTGGAAGAGATCTTCTATGATGATGTTGTTGGCTTTTCCGATGTCGGCAGTACGTTGTTTGTCTAAAGTTGTAATCGTGGAGAGGAGGGTGGTGTCTACGTTGAAGGCAACAGCAGTGCAATTATGTTTCTGTTCCAGTGTCAGTGCAGGGGTGAGTCCAAGTGTCTGTAGTCCTGTTCGGGCTTTGGGGGTGAGGCAAGCATAGAGGTCAGATTCAGAGGGTAGAAAGAGCTTTATTCCTTTGTCAATGGGGGTGATGGAGGTGTAAGGAGTCTGGGTGATCATGTAGATTTTCTGTCCTATTCCGTCAGGGTCAAGGGGAGGATCAAGAGCATAGAGGAGGCGAAGGCAGTGCATTTTAGGTGAGGTAGTGGTCTGGTGGAGGAGGTGGTGGTGGGTTGACTCAGCTGGGTAGCTGCGATCTCCGTGGAGCTGTGGATCTTAGGCTCGTGAGCTGTGGGTTGGAGCTCGGTTGTCAGAGGCGTAATTCCGGGTTCTTAGCAGGCTAATTGAACCCGGTTCGGCACAAATACAAAGTATTCGTGAGTCCTGAAGGTGTTACTCAAGGGCAACCCCCACTGCTAGTTGACTCGCACTATCACGAGGTTCTAGCAGTGGATCGGCATAGCAAACAAGCCAGGCAGGGAGACACAGGGCGCAAGCACGTGCTGTGGCCCCACCTGGGAGGAAAGGACGAATACCCCACTGCACTTTCACCGCACAGGGGGTAGGTCCCGGCCTGAAGAGGAAGAAATGTTTAGCAGAGGAGAGAAAGAGTGCTATATACGGCAATACACATTACGTAAGTTAGGCCATCCAGCTGTCCCTGGTTTTATTCAGGGTGGCAGTACGGGTTGGCCCACTAGGGTAATGTATCTTTGCACGTTATATCACTGATAGAGCTGTAACATAAACCGTGAACACGCCGAGAGGAAGAGCCGTCGTTGCCTGAAAAAGAGGTGTGTGCCAGTTTGCCTGGGTGTTGCCTTGGATGGAAGATGGCTGTGATAAGGATGTGGCCCCAGGTAGGGTTACCACGAGAGTATGCTCGTCTGGGCCGACCAAGCGGCCCTGACCTTGCAAGTTAGCAACAGGTGCTACTAGCGCTCTGCATCTCTGGCTGTTGAATCCATGTTGGATCACTGTGGTGGTTGTGATGTTAGATGCCTCAAAACGGTGGTCCCATGTAACTGCAATAATGCAGAGGCAGGTGGTTGCAGGTGCGGGGGCGCTCAAACAGCGTATCGCCTAGATCTCACTGCGAGCGCGACGTGCTGCTGCTTCCGTTGCCAATGATGACGAATGCCCGCACGATTTCCCGACTATATCCCATCAAGCGGACGTACTAGTAGCATTGCAACTCCTGCCTGCCCTTACTTTACGCTTGTGGTCGAGTAGACACGGCTTTCTCACAACGCTTTCAAAACTGCAGTTGCCTACTCGTCTGTTTCACGTCCCTGTGAAATGACTTTTGCACAAATCCAAAAAATAGAGCAAAATCAGCGATAATAGTGATTGAGGTGAGCCGCCTGTTGGCTGCAGCCAGAGGAAGGAGGGGAGGGGCAACGGGGTGACGTAGGCGAGTCGAGCAGCCAATGGCGCTCGAGCAAGCGCCTCGAGACGGCGTATATAAGCAAAAATTTTTCGGCGCCGGCCATTCAACATGCAAGCCGCCATTTTCCCGGAGCTCCCGGGGGAAGGAGCAGCCGCCCACCAACGTACCAACCAATGGGGACCCGGCATGCAGTCCGGCAGCCAACCAGCTGCCCAATCACAGACCCAGCCTCCACCTCCACCACCAGGCTCCTCCCATTCGTCGACTCAGACTTCGCCGCGGCAGTTGCCGGTTACTGTCACCGACCTTAGCACTGCACATGCTCTCACGAAACTAGTGAGCGACATTACTGGTTCCAACTACCGAGAATTTGTGAGGATTCTAAATATCATCTACAAGGCTAACGGACTCCAGACCATCATCGTACCTGACGAAGTCTTCCCCACCTCTGCCTCAGCTTCCACTTCAGTAACTGAGCCGGAAATCACTGTAAACGCTGCCGCACTTGTTGACCTACTGTCTGCCACTGTTCCACCCACCACTCCAGTTGCTGCTGACCCTACACCAGACCCAGTAGAGGCTGTTAGTCTCTCCACACAAGACAACGACCCTCCTGCTCCTGTTTATGCGTCTTACAACTGCCCTAGAGACCTGAAATTTAATATTTCTCAGAAACGTATCACAGCTCGGGAGTGGAACATCGACTACGAAAACGGACTGAACGATGACGGAACCCGCAGAGAGTTTTGGTACGTTGAGGCTGACACAGTTCGTTACTGCACTGATGTTACCATACTCCACCCTGCCATTATTGACCCTCAATACTACGTGAAATATCCGAAACACGCCGCTATGATAAAGAAAGAAATTCAAGAACGAACGGGCAATGAACCTTCAACCCAGCAGAGTCAACCAACACCTCTTCATACCAAACCTTCAGGGACCACTGTGCTAGTCCCCGACCCTTCAAACCCATTGTCGGATGATGCTCCAGCTCCTGGTCCAGCCTCGGACATTGCTGTGAACGATACTGAACCTACTGCAGCTGCAACATCTGCTCCTGGCATGGTAGCAACCCAGAAGCCGACGACTTCTCATCCACCATCTCCTGTTACATCTCCACCCACAGTACATACATCCACTGAACCTTCTACATCTGCAGTAAGTCCTACCGCTGCTACTAAACCATCAGGAACACTACTTCCAAGACCCACATCTCCTGGTATGTACTCATCTGACTCATCAGATGAGGATGTCTCTGTGGGAACGACATCTCCACCTTCACAGAAATACAACTATTCATCTGCCGATTTTCTTTATGACGCTATTGATCCCACAGCAATGTCAACACGAAGTCGGACCGCCAAGAAAGACAAGTCGAAAACAAAGACCAAAGATCAGACCTTGCTCCCACCATCAAGAAAGAAGTAAACCAATGAAGTAATCAACCTTCAATTACCATCACCTGCCAGCTGCTTGCGTTCCTGGCCTCTGCGTGGACTGCAAATGACGCCCTACTCAATTCTACTTCCATCTACTCAAGTTCTAATCCGCGGTGGTTGGGCCACCGATCTTTCATCTCCCCTCTTCACCTCATCTCCAGATCCTTGCTCAAGATTTCTGCAACCTCGCCCCGTTCTTCCATCCCCTGCTTGCCAGCTCTATGGACTTTTTAATCCGTAATCCGGCCCTTTTCATTGGCAACGGAAGCAGCAGCACGTCGCGCTCGCAGTGAGATCTAGGCGATACGCTGTTTGAGCGCCCCCGCACCTGCAACCACCTGCCTCTGCATTATTGCAGTTACATGGGACCACCGTTTTGAGGCATCTGACATCACAACCACCACAGTGATCCAACAGCATCGATTTAACAACAGCCAGAGATGCAGAGCGCTAGTAGCACCTGTTGCTAACTTGCAAGGTCAGGGCCGCTTGGTCGGCCCAGACGAGCATACTCTCGTGGTAACCCTACCTGGGGCCACATCCTTATCACAGCCATCTTCCATCCAAGGCAACACCCAGGCAAACTGGCACACACCTCTTTTTCAGGCAACGACGGCTCTTCCTCTCGGCGTGTTCACGGTTTATGTTACAGCTCTATCAGTGATATAACGTGCAAAGATACATTACCCTAGTGGGCCAACCCGTACTGCCACCCTGAATAAAACCAGGGACAGCTGGATGGCCTAACTTACGTAATGTGTATTGCCGTGTATAGCACTCTTTCTCTCCTCTGCTAAACATTTCTTCCTCTTCAGGCCGGGACCTACCCCCTGTGCGGTGAAAGTGCAGTGGGGTATTCGTCCTTTCCTCCCAGGTGGGGTCACAGCACGTGCTTGCGCCCTGTGTCTCCCTGCCTGGCTTGTTTGCTATGCCGATCCACTGCTAGAACCTCGTGATAGTGCGAGTCAACTAGCAGTGGGGGTTGCCCTTGAGTAACACCTTCAGGACTCACGAATACTTTGTATTTGTGCCGAACCGGGTTCAATTAGCCTGCTAGGAACCCGGAATTACGCCTCTGACAACCGAGCTCCAACCCACAGCTCACGAGCACACTGACCCCCCCACTGAGCTAATGGAATCGCAGTGATTGGCACAAGACACGGGACTGTCAGTAGACAGTGAGTCACAATGGCTCACTGTCTACGGATGACCTACACTGGGAATACACCCATAGACACAGTTGACTGCATCACTACCTTTTACAATGCCACTGGCACACCAGCCACTAACCATATAAAACATGCCAACACAAACACCATCAAATTTCTCATTGCCTCTGAAGACGACCTTTTTGCCTGTTTCAAGGAACCTACTTTCAGAAAACTCACACAAGCTTCACTTACTCCTGTTCTCACTATTGAACAAAAAACTAAATGCTCTGTACTTGTAAGAAATGTCGACAGCTCTGTCCTTTCAGCACCTACTACTATCAATCTCTCTCAAGACATCTCTCACAGGAATGCTATTACTGTAATGGAGATATACCCAGTGCCCAATACAAAACACCTCAAGATCCAATGTTCCTCCCCTACAGAAGCTCAAAAACTCTTGCACCATGGAATTAAAATCCTCAACACCAGCACTCCTCCCTATTTCATTAGTCCAGTTGACTATCTTCCTTTGCTGCAATGCTTTAAATGCTACAAATACAGTCATGAAACCCGGAAATGTAAAAGCCCACAAATTTGTTCAAAATGTTCTGCAGAAGGCCATTTTTACACTCAGTGCTCTGCCAACACTTTAAAATGCATCAATTGCCAAGGAGGTCATTCAGCAGTTGACAAATCTTGCCCTTTGAGAAAGCAAACCCTAAAATCTCTTCGCAATAACCAACCTCGCACTCAAGCACACCCTCATTCCTCTTCTTCAACCTCCCATAACCTATCTCATCACCAAACAGCATCAGCCACCTCAATGTCCTATGCCAGTGTCCTTAATGCTTCACCTCACCAGCAACATCATCATAATACTGCACAACAAACTCAGTCCTCTCCACCTCTCTTCCCTCACCCACCACCTCCACCTTATTCTCCTCTTCAGAACCTTGCATATGAACGAGTCACTGCCTGTGTACAAGCTGCTTACTTGAAGGCCAAGGACGATGGCCGTGACTTTGCTGACTATCTTCCAATCTTTCTCACTCATAACGGCCTTCCTAGTATCTCTGTTCCTCCTACTCAACTATTGCGCTCTGCTCCATTCTCGCCTACAGTCCTCACTCCACAAAACACCATGACTTCAGCTGAAGAAAATACTACAGTTCCCCCACAATCTCCTACCAACCCACTCCTGACTGCTACAGAAAACGGTGCCACTGACCAAACAGCACATCCTGGACTATCCCAAACTGAAGCATCCATGTCAAAGGCACTTTCAACCTCTTCTCCCAACATTGTCCTCTCCACTTCCAATCTGACTACTAACACTACAACCTCTGATACCTCTCACCCGGTCCCTGTCAACAAGCCTTCTGTCTCCCTCCATCCCCCAACAACTTCAGTCATTTCTTCTGTAACTCATCTTGTCTCGTCCCGAGCCCGTTCAGCAACCCGTTGTCTTACTCCCACCTCCCGCTGTAAATATCCTACAATTCCTACCACCATCCTCCAAGATGCACCCTCCTCAATAACTGCCCAACTCATTGAATCACGCAACCCTCATGCTCTTGTACATGCACAAAACCCCACCAGCACCCCATCAAAACCTAAAAATTCATAAAGATCATACAGTTTAATGTGCGGGCATATTTCAACATTAGACACATGGTGTCAGATTTTATTGAGATCGAGAGACCTGATGTGCTATTATTAAATAGCACATACATCACGAACTCATATAAAATCAAACATTATGGCTACACCTCTTACCAGTCACCAGATGAAGCACATGAAGGAGTTGCAATACTCATCCGTTCTTCATACAAACACGAACTCTTACACACTCATTGGCTTCACAAACATTTCCTAGCCATTAAAGTTCATACACAAATGGGGTCTCTCATCATCTGCACAACCTACACCCGTCCTAACACCGACATTCCCATGCAAGATTTCATAACTCTCTTCAACAACTCTCACTTGCCTGTTTTTCTGCTTGCAGACCTCAATGCACAACACCCTACATTCCACCACAATACCACAAATCAGCATGGCAGACAGCTTCACCAAATATACACCCAAAAACATCTATTCTTTCTTGGCCCTGATTTCCCCACTTGTTTCACACATACAGGTTCTGGCCGGCCTGATCTCATATTCACCAACAGACACGGCAGCAACTTGCAACACTTCATTTCACCAGGGCCCATTACGGGCTCTGATCATATTCCCTTAATTCTCACAGTCTCCACAAATCCTATTCTCATCCCCAGCACTCCTCAATTCTCATACCATAGGGCAAACTGGGACATGTTCAAACAACACATTGATGACACTGATCTCACTTATGAATACAATGACAAACATCACACTGACATCGACACACAAGCACGCAACATACAAGACACCATCATTCATGCAGCAAACATCTCCATTCCTAAAACAGCACACAAACCACATTTCACTTTCACCCCCTCCATTCGCTCCAAACGCCTCTTAGCTTGCTATCACACTAGATTCTTACAAAACATACATCGTCATGGACAAATACTATGGGACCTAACAGCATTAAAAAACCATATCCTTAACAGCCTAGATGAAGATCACACAAAACATTGGAAACACCTTATAGAACAAGCAGAACAATACAGAAAACTGACACCTCAAGAATTCTGGAAACGAATCAAACGATTACAAGGATCAACTCACACACCGTTTAAATACCTTCTACATAATAACAACAAAATCACTGATCCTGAAGCAGTTCTCAACATTTTTAAACACCACTGGGAACAAATCTTTCACCCACATCCTCCTGAACCATTTGCACGCCCCAACATTGAAATAGTCGAAGACTGGATACACCAAAATAGACAAGCAACTACACCAGACGACCTCATTCACCTTGAAAATCTCAATTCAAACACTGAACTACAGACTCCCCTAACTCTAGCTGATGTCAAGACAGCTCTCATGGGCACTCGTCGTAGAGCCCCTGGTGCGTCTGGCATTGGACATATCCTTCTTAGACAACTCCCTGCTTCTATCATTACTGCTATCACTAACCTATTCAACGCCTCCCTTGCCTCTGGATACTTTCCACTCAACTTTAAGTCTGCCACAGCCGTTCTTATTCCAAAACCTGGGAAACCCCACACTGACCCAAAGAACTATAGACCCATCAGCCTTCTAGAGACACTTGGCAAAGTCTTTGAAAGGCTGATCAACCAGAGACTTAGAACCCACCTTGAACACAATGACTTACTCACTAACAAACAGTTTGGATTTCGGCCTCACCGGTCCACTCACGACGCCTTAAACATCATGACTAACTACCTCAGTATCAATCAGCACCAAAGACTTAAGACTGCACTCATCACTAAGGACGTTGAGAAGGCCTTTGACACTGTTTGGCATGACGGCTTAAAATTCAAACTATGCAACAACTTTAATCTTCCTCTTATCACCACCAAACTTCTTTCGAACTACTTAGACAATAGGACAATGAGAATTAAGTTCCTCCAACAACACTCTGACTACTTCAACTTACACGCCGGTGTTCCCCAAGGTTCTGTTCTTGCCCCAACACTCTACATCCTATACATAAACGACATTCCTGACCCTGTTCATCACACTTCATTAACCATATGTTATGCTGATGATGTCTCTCACCTTGTCACCAGCAACACCATTGATACACTAACAAACAGAGCACAAACAGAACTTGATGTTGTCACTGAGTGGGAGTACAAATGGCGTATAAAAACCAACTCCAGCAAATCTAAAATCACCTACTTTTTCTGTAAAAGAACTATTCGCCCAATTCCTCTCA